AAAAAAAAGTTTTTATCTTTTGAGAAGTAAAGCAATAAAAGGAACTATCTTTTCAGGCCCAGTTATCTTAGGCTTTCAACAGTATTTAAGTGTTCAAATAATTTTTAAGAAATTGTGATGAACAATGCCAAGCCCACAGTTTTATGCTTCCTCACTGCCAAGACTGTTCCAAATTCATAATAATCACATTTCCAAACTTAGAGTTCCATAGGTATTTCTGTATTACTTTAATGACTTTCTGTTGTGACATTTGAGTATTTGGACAGTGTGATACTATCTCTTTCTCCCATGTTCTCCTAAGAGAGGTGGCAGTTTTTATTAGTAATGGGTGTTTACCTTATGACTGTGTAAGAGTGCTATTCACTTTAAGACTGCTAATTTATTTCTTATGTTTATATGTATTTGCCTTTTCAGTCTCAGTGGCAAATGTCCTTCATCAGGGCAGAAAACCCACAGAGGATCTATGCTCCCATGTTCCACCTTCTTCTGGGCCTCAAACCACTCTGACTTACCCTGTTCATTTTGTATCTGTAACTTGCCTGTCCCTTCTCTCTAACCTTTAGTGACTTTCTATTTTTCCACTACTTCTTGGGGCATGCCCAGCCAGTCATATCAGCATTCAGTGCAAGGGCCTGAAGATACTGTTGTTGGGGGACCTTGCAGAACTGTACAATAAAGTTGAGATTTTTCTGTTTATCATCTAGAAAGGTGCCGGAGGTGGCCAACTTTCTCTTTTCTCATCACACTGTATCTGCCAATGGTCATTGAAAGTTCCTTATTAACATCAGATTGATCCTCTGGTGATTTTTTTTTTAAATGTTTTTGTTCCCTAAGTACATTACTGTGAGCACCCAGTGGCTTCTGGTAGAGTAGTTCAAGTGGCAGGGGAAAGCCAGCAGCCTTTAAAACCAGATGCAGGGCCTCAGAGAGAAGACAGTAGGTAGTGTTGATCTCGGCACTGCCTGAGCCCCGCCAGGAGTGAGTCCTGAACATATCTGAGCAGGGCCCCAAAACAAACGGTGCAGCCTTAAGACCACAGAGGCCCTGGTCCATCTTGAACTGCTTGTTCACCTAAACCCTGCCTGATACGGTCTTGAAAGTACAACCCTCCAAACTCAACATCAGCTGTTTTTTTGGCCAGGAATTAAAAGTCAGTGTGTGCTGTGCTTACATCTTTAAGAATATGGTTTTAGTTTCTAAATCATACTCAGCAGTGCTGGGGAGTGGGGAGGGGTTGAGAGATCGAACCTGGAGTTCCTGTATCTATAAAGCATGAACTCCAGCCCTTGAGATTTTTGTAGCCCCACTGACTTTCAGTGACTCTTAGCTACATGTTTTAGTTTGGGATTAGGTGCAAAGACTAAAAATCATTGCATTTCTTCAGAAATCTGTTCAATAAAGTGATAGACTATAAGTTTGAAACCCAATTGTTTATTTTGAAAGGAACACTCATGTCTACGCAATTTCTGACTCTTGTTGAGGAAAATACCTGTTACATTGCTTTCCATCTACTGACCCTAATTTGTGGGTTTTTTACCCTGGTAAAAACATCTTTTTTTAGGGCTGGAGAAATACTGCACAGGGTTAATAGCAGTGCTTTAACAGAAGTTAAGGCACTTGCCTTGCATACCCAGGTTCAGTCCTGAGCACTGAATATTGTCCGCCAAGCACTGCCAGGAGTGATCCTTGAGTATCTGTGTGTGGTCCAACCCGTCCCCTTTCACCACCACAAAAAAAAAAAAATCTTGCCCTAGCTGTGTTGCCCTTTTTTAATCAAAACAGTGGCAGTGCCACCAACATTCCCTTTTCCGTTCTTAGATGTTTATGTATGCTTTGCCAAATTTTTCTTATTTCAGTGATGTACTTCACACTAACTCCTAGTATTTAAAAACATGCAACACCTTCAATTTTATATGATGTGGATCTTAAGATTAAGGAATATCTAACCAAACTGATTCTGATTAATATATTGTCATTAAAATCTTTAAGAAATTTTGTAGTTGAAACTAGAAGACGTAACATTAAATATTTCTTAAACTTTAGGATACTTAAACTTGCTGCTAGTAATTGTTGAAGACTTTGTTTTTCAATAAACTATAAAAAGAAACTTAACTGTGGGCTTTTATTGGCAGTTACTGTTTTTGTTAACATTGTTGTTGTGATATGAAAACTGTTCACTTTAGGGCTGAAGTGATAGTACAGCGGGTAGGGCATTTGCCTTGCACTCGGCCAACCCGGGTTCAATTCCCAGCATCCCATATCATCCCTCGAGCCTCCAGGAGTAATTCCTGAGTGCAAAGCCAGAAGTAACCCCTGACCATCGCTGGGTGTGACCCAAAAAGCAAAAAAAAAAAAAAAGATTAATAAAGGAAAACTTTATTTTGTTCACCTAGAAATCTTTTTGTAGTGAATTTCAAGACCACTTGTGTCCCTGAGAAACATGCTTGAGAGCCTGGAGAGAATACCGCAGGTAGGGTATTTGCTTTGCTAGTGGCTGACAGGGGGTTGATTCCTGGCACCCGATATTGTACCCCAAGCACCTTTTAAGGCCCATCTCTGGGTTGGTCTCATACAGGACAGATAAGCTATTGATCTGTTCCTACCTGAACTTTAAGATAGTGAAGAACATGGGGTTGGAGAGAGTACTGCGGTGGAGTACTTACCTTGCACATGCCCAGCCCGAGTTCATTCCCAGGCACCTTATATGTTTCCCTGAGCACTCTTGCCATGAGAAATTCCTGAGTGCAGAGCAGGGAGTAAGCCTTGGGCAGCACCAGAGTGGCCCAAAACAAAAGAAATGAGGAACCAAATTTGTTTTTGTTCTTGCTCAAGGTGAAGAGGACACAGTTGTAATTGAGAGTCCTAAGGACATGTTAGGGAAAAACTTAATTTGACGTCAGACCTAACTGTCAAAGAATGGTGTTCTTGGTAAAAACAAAAAAACTGGGGGAAGTGACTTGTCAAATACAGTTGAAATGTAGTTGCAGCGTTACACACCGGCAAAATATCAGTGGGAAAGACAGGCCCCTGCTATAATGTGACTCAGTGAGGCAGCCTTCCAGAGGTCGGAGTGGAGATTTTAGGAGCGAAGGTGTTTTGGTGGCTTTGTGTTCCTTCAGGGGCGCTGCTGTCACAGGGCAGATTACTAGCAAAGGTGAAAAATCCAAACCCTGCCACTACCCTGTTGTATTCCACCATTCTGGAAAACGGTCTATTTTAGAAACACCAAACTTGCTAGAGAGATGGTTCAAAGAACTGGAATGCATGCTTTACCTCTGACACTACTCCAAAAGTACACAAGCAATAAATTAATTTTTATGACACCTCAAGCCAGGTCCCTAATTCAAATCCAAATCCCTTTCTTACAGGTTCTCTTTTCAGGACATGTTCTATGTATTAGGTCTAGATATTTACGGCCATGTAGTACTAGTTCTTTCCTTTTTCCTGGAGAGAGAGTACAGCAGATAGGTAGGGTTACCTGGGTTTGGTCCCTGGCACTTCATATCGTTCTGTGCCCACATCCCCAACACATCCTGCCAGGAGTAATCCCTGAGCACTGCCAGCTGTGGGCCCAAAACAAAACATCAAAAGGTCTGATAACAGAAAATAATAGGAAGAACGAGCATGTTCTTTCTGAAGCTTTCCCTTCACAGGAACCCTTGTCCTGAGATATGGCTGCTTTGTTCTCTGTCTTTGCCCTCTTCCCCTCTTCCCGGGGGTCCCCAGCCCAGCTTAGTTCTGCTGCTTTCATACCCTGGAGACTCCAGGCAGTACACTTGGGGCTTTGGGACACACCTTGTAAATTTTCCAGTTCTCAGGCCAGAAAATTATCAGCCTTATGTCAAATTTCTTGAAAACGGTTGTTTTATGCTTGCTTTTTTTTTTTGGTTTTGGGTCACACCCGGCGGTACTCAGATTACTCCTGGCTCTGGACTCTGGAATTATTCCTGGCAATGCTCAGGGGACCCTATGGGATGCGGAGGATCAAACCCCCAGTGAGTCAAGGCCTAGCCCTGTACTACCTCCTGCCCATTATCGTTTATTTGTTTGGGGAAGGAGAAATCTGAGCCCTGTGATATGATTTGGATGGAAGTGGGAACCTTGCAAGATTTATGTAGATAGAACCAACTACCTCATCCGTGAGAGACATGTGTTGACCACCGAGTTGCATCACTGGCCACGCACGCATTATATTCAGGGACCTGGGAGATCAATAGTAGCGCACAGGCCAGTAGGAAGTGATCCGAACACCTCTAGATGTACCCGTTGTGAGATTTTTATTACTAAGGGGGAGCTGGGACACGCGGTTGTGCCCAGGGATCCCTCCTGGCGGGGCTGGGGTGGGACTAACCCTAATGAGATTCTCGGGGGTTAAAACTGGGTCCGCGACGTGAGAGGCAAACGCCTCATAACCCCAGTAACTCTCGCCCGCTCCCGCAAATCACTTTTCCGTCCGAGAGAGTACCAGGAGCTACTAAGCACGTGTAAACTCTAGGAGTTGGAGGTGCGAGGGTGCTCCAGCCCCGGCCTAGCCTTCCGGGGTACGCTCGCCGCGGGGCAGAGGCGGAGCCCAGCTCCGGGGGCCAATTGCAACCACCCGGGATAAGATTACCGTGGGAAAGTGGGAGGGAAAAGCTCGGCCGGGCTCTCCGCGCATCCCGGGAGGGGTTGCTGTCGCTCGGGGCGAAAGGTACGGGAAGCGCTGGACTCTGGGTGGACAGAGAGAGGGAGCGCGAAGGAGAGGGCCGGGAGGGACGGTGCGGGGGTGGGGACGCTCGCCTCGCACGCGGCCGGCCTGGGTCCGAGCCTCCAGGAATGATCCCCGAGCGCAGAGGCAGGAGGATGCTCCCGCGCGTACCCGAGCGGCCTTCAGCCCACCGCCCCGTAGAAGACCAGTAATAACCGAGCCGAGGAGCAGAGCCCCCCAGGCTGGCCGCCGCGCCGCGCCGCCGGAAGTGGGCGCGGGGGCCGAGGCGGAAGAGCGCGGGGAGGAGGTGACGCGGTAAGGGAGCGCCCAGGGGCCGCGGCGGCGGCGGCGAGCAGGCCGGACGCCTCGTCGCTGCCGGGCTGTCCCCGCACCCCGGAGCCGGCCGGAGCGGGGGCGCGCGCGGGCAGCGGCGGCGGAGAGGGCGCGGGCCGCGAGGGACGCAGGTAAGCGGCCGCCGGGGGTCCGGCCCTGCCCGCGCCGCGCGCGCCAGCTCAGCACCCGGGCCCGGAGGCCGCGGCGCTGCCCACCCTGCCCCCACGCGGCCGGGCCCGCGCCCCGCTCCCCGCGCCCCCGCGCCCACCCCGACGCCCAGCGCGGGGCTTTTACTCGCTCCCACCGCCCCGCTTCCATTCTGCCTCCGCTGCCTTCCCCACCCCACTCTTTCCTAGCAAACGGGTCCGAGAGAAGCGAATATGCCAAGGAGCGGGGAGCCGGCGTGGGGGTGCGGGCACCCTGTTTTCGTGGCCGCCTCCCTCTGATTGACTGCTCGGGCAGGTCGCCCTGCGGGGGACAGAGCCGGGCCGGAACCCCCAGCCTGCCGTTTGGGTTTGAATCTCGTGCTCGGTGGACCCCGGGACATTCGTGGAGTTTTCTCATCCCCGTCGGCGACACGGGGACGGTAGGACGTCCTCAGGCAGGTGGGCCCTGGGATTCCGGTCCAAGTTGGCTTAAGAATCACCAGGAGAGGGGACCAGGGGCCCGAGAGACCGGAGAGCCAGTCGGGCACTTGTCTTGCACGTAGCCCATCTGAGTTTGATCCCCTGGACCCCAGAAGTGATGCTTGACAGCAGAGGCAACTAGAAGTGGGGCTGGAGGGGTTAAAGCGCTCTTCGTGCGTGCTTGCAGTTACTCAGGCTCCGTCCCCATTTGGCCCCCTAAACCTGGCCAGGAGTGATCGCTGCACACCACAGGGTGTGGCCCCACATATGCATGTATGTATACACACACACACACACACACAATGACACTTCCTAATTCTGTCTTTTACTCAGCTGGTGTGAAAAACGGTTTAAGAGCAGATAACAGGCTGTGGTTCAAACCGCAGTCCCTGCTTTGGATTGGGAAGCATTAGGAAGAATCGGGCTCTTCTGCTTACTACTTCTCCACGCGCCCCCCAGCTGTTTCATACTTACTGACCGGGCATTGTTAGTGTTTCAGGTGTGACCCAGATCACTTTTGCACCTTATTCAAGAGGACTTTGCCCAGTGGGCCCTTTCTAGGAGAAAAACTGGGAGGAGCTTCCTTTTCATTAGCTCCTGTGCTCCTTATTTCTTAGGAACCCTCATTCTGCCCCTGAAACATTTCATGTCCGTTGAAAATGTTCAAAGAACAAATACAGAAGCTCAAGTCCTTGGAGTAGCAGGGTTATAAGTTAAGATGAGGCAGCGTCCTATATTGAGGAGCTAATATTCATCTCTCCCAAGTCTCCCCAGTCTGGTTGACTGGTGTCTCTTGGTATTGGGTTTAAATTTGTCTTTGAATATTTGGTTTTATTCCCCCTCCTTTTTTTTTTGGAGGGGGTCACACCCAGTGATGCTCAGGGGTTACTCCTGGCTCTGCACTCAGGAATTATTCCTGGTGGTGCTCGGGGGACCATATGGGGTACTGAGATCAAACCCGGATCAGCTGCGTGCAAGGCAAATGTCCTACCAGCTGTACTATCACTCCACCCCCCCTTTTTCATTTTTTTGTTTTTTTGGTTCAGTGCTGTACCATTGATTTAATGAAATTGATACATGGTTCAGAGAGATAGTGCAGTGGGGTAAGGTGTTTGCCTTGCGCATACCCCACCAAGATTCAATCCTTGGCACCCAGATGATTCCCCAGAACACTGCTAGGAGTCATCTCTATGTGCCAGGTTTGTGCCACTGCCAAACTAGAGGTCACTGAGAATGAAATTGATAGATGCCTATACAGGATAATGTGTTGTGGGTGCCTCACCTTTGTCTCTTACCCATTATCATAAATTCTCACCACCTTTGGGAAAGAGGTCGTGTTTTCAGAATTACTATGGCCGTGTGTCCTCAGGCCCTGTTGAACTTTGTCTTTGAGGGATCTAGGTCCATTCTCCAATGATCTTTGACAGCCCTCTCAGTGTTTCAGCATTTCCCGGTCTTTGTTAGTGGTAAAGCCAGAAATGGACCGTAGGTCACAGCGTCTCTAAAGGAAGATGCTGAATTATTTTCTTTCTAAAAAATGACCCTGTTGGTGGCATGTTAACTTTGACAGCCAGAGAATAAAAGGCATTCTGAACTTGGATAGTTAATCTACTTTTTATCTGGTGGCCAGGCCAATACAAATATTAACACTAGTAGGTACTAGTTAAAAAATATTACTATTTTTTTTAACAAGAGAAGAGGGCTTTATTGGCTGGAAAATAATTTGTAAGTTGGGAAGCTTACAATAATTCTTGTAAGAATTGTATTCTGAGTATACAGTTTTATATTTTGGGGCCACATTCTGGGGCTATTTCTGGCTCAGGAGCCACTTCTGGCAGTGCTAGGATAGAATGTGTTGCCTAGGATAAAATCCTGACCTCCTGCATGTAAAGTATGTGCTCAGCCAGTTGAACTACTTCCAGGTCTAAATGTATAATATTTTTTCATTTTGAGTCACACCTGGCAGTGCTCAAGGCTTAGTGACCACGTGGGATGCTGGGGATCCAATGCAGGTCAGTTGCATGCATTCTGTCTCTAAATCTAAAATTTGAGGTGTGGGGGGGGTCACATCCAGTGGGGCTCAAGACTCAATTCCTGACTCTGCACTCAGAGATCACTTCTGGCGAGGCTCAAAGAACCATTTGGGATACCGGGGGTCAAAATTAGGTCAGCTGTATGCAAGGCAAACCCCCTACCTATTGTGCTACTTCTATGCCCCCACAACTACAGTTCTTGATCTTGTCATTTTTTTTTTAATTTATTTATTGACTTTTTTGGATCATGCCTTGTGATGCTCAGGGATTACTCCTGACTTTGTACTCAGGAATTACTCCTGGTGGACTTGGGGGATCATATTGGATGCCGGGGAATGAACCCGGCTCAGCTATGTACAAGGCAAATGCCCTACCCACTGTACTACCACTCCGATCCCTTATTTTGTTCTGTAGGGGCCATACTCAGCGGGACTGGGAGACCATGCGGGATTGAATCCAGGCACCACACTATAAGTGGTTCTAGCACTTGAACCACGTTCCACACACCCCTCCCCCCCATTCTTGAGCTATTTTGTTGTTCTCTGTGCCCTCTTATCTCAGGAAGCAGTTTTTGTTTTAAATCATGTTTCCTACAACATCTCTTTTATTCTCTCTCACTTTCGTGGGGTGGGTAACCCTCTTGCTGTTCACTGCCCAATAGCTCTTCTCTTTACTGTCTTACCGCCTCTAGGAGAAAGAACTTTTTCATGCGGCTCCCTAAGTTAACCTGTATAGTCAGCTGTCCTGCAAACTTTCACCCAAATATCGGTCCCTTAGGATTGTTCAGGCTTCGGCTGTCCTAGGGTCAGTGAATCTGTTGAATTGAAAACTCACTTGTGTTTCCTTTGTGTGTGTGTTTTGTCTTTGAAGGAATGTTGGTATTTGGTGAACATGAACAAACAACCGCACGACCAGGAATATGGGGACAGAAATGTAAAGGGACCCTGTGTGGAGGTAATTCTTAATTACATGTGCTCTAGTATGTGCTGGGATTATTGATTTTAGGGTGCACAGACTGACCTCTTTAATTTGAGAATCTTTAGTAGTATTTTCTTAGTCTTTTGAGCTAGTTTGAGTCTGCAAGGAATCCTCAAATCTTCAAATCTTCCTGCTGCTTATAAGCTGGTTTGTCAGCATATTCAGTACATTAGCACTCACTTGTCTTTATTTAACGCAACTATTTCAGTTTAGTACTTGTGAAAATATGCTGCAGGCATTTGGAAATGTGGGAGAGGGTCATTTGGATGGTTTTGTGGAACATAGAAGGAATATCTACATGATGTGACCAGTTTTATTTTTTGCCTCATGTTCACAGTTCTCAGAGAAACTCCTGCTGCCAACTCCTGACTGGTTTGGAGACTGTTCTTTTCATTGGATTGCTTTCCTCTTGCAAACTTGAGATCATTTGCTTAGGTCTTTAAGACAGTCTGAATTCCAACTTCCATGCTGCTTTTTGCTATTGTCCTATTTTCCGTTATGTGTACATTTAAAAATATTTTTTTACTCTTCTAATTTTGGGTGTTTAGGTCACTAGGCAGTGCTCAGCATCCATTCCAGTCTGTGTGCACAGGAACTGCACGCAGGAGTGACCACTGGCAGTTCTCAGGACCAGAAGTGGTGCCCAGGATCAAACCCAGGTCGGCCACATTCAAAAGCCACTGCCTTAACATCTGTACTGTCTTTCTGGCCCCAAGGCCTTCCCCCTGTACTGCCACTCTGGTCTCTACATCATTTTTGGTTTTATTTATTTATTTATTTGACCTTTTGGGTCATACCCAGCGATGCACAGGGGTTACTCCTGGCTTTGCACTCAGGAATTACTCCTTGCAGTGCTCAGTGGACCATATTGGTTGCTGGGGATCGAACCCGGGTCATTTGCATGCAAGACAAACGCCCTGCCCACTGTACTATTGCTCCAGCCCCTTGGTTTTATTTTTTTGAACAAGAAATAAAACAGCCCTTAAGAGCATTTCACTGTATGTAAATAGTATCTAAGAAACGTAAAAAAATTCTTTATTCTCATTTGAATAAGGTCTTAGGAAGGAGTTAAGTAAAATGTGTCTGTCCTGTTGCCCAGCTTTCTTTGTTATTATTTTTGGGACACAGTTGCTCAGGGCTAACATCTAACATCTAGCTCTGTGCTCAAGGATCATTCCTGACAGACTCACGGAACCATTGGGGTCCCAGGGATTGAGCCTGGATTGAATCCTGGTCAGTCAGAAGAGCCTTACCCACTGTAACACTCTTTGACTCCTAGAATGTAGGGAGAATGTTTAAGAACTTAATTCTATGCTTTTTCCTTTCAGTCAGCATTTGTTGTGGACTCCTAAATAACGCGGTGTGTGTGTGTGTGTGTGTGTGTGTGTGTGTGTGTGTGTGTGGACAGTTGGTAGTGGTGGTGGTGATGGTGATGTGTTTTTATAGAAGCAAGTTAGTTGTTTGTTTTTGCTTTGCTTTTGGGGTCATATCCAGCGAAGCTCAGAGGTTCCTCCTGGTTCTGCACTCAGTGGGTTTCTTCTGACTCTTCACTTACTCCTGGTGGTGCCTGGGGGACCATATAGGATGCCAGGGATTGAACCCGGGTTGGCCGCGTGCCAAGCAAATGCACTACCCACCATGCTATCATTCTGGCCCCAAGCAAGATAGTTTTAGTTGAACAAAATTTACTTTGCCATGATGGGAAAGAAGAGAGGAATATGTGTTCAAGAGAGAACACAGGCTTTTTATGGAATGGAAAGAGCAGAGAGATCTATATTCAAGGGAGAACACAGGCTTGAAAGAGCAAGCCTGGATCATGTTAATAAAATTTTAGAAGAGGGCTCAGTAATTAAATAGTAGAGCAGGTAAGGTGCTTGCCTGGCCACTGCACACCCAGGTTTGATCCCATATGGTCCTCAAGTCCCACCAGGAGGGATCCTTGAGTACAGAGCTAGGAGTAAGCCCAGGGTACCTCTGGATGTCACCCCCAAAACCAAAGCAAATGAAAACAAACCAATCCATATATGCATACATACATGTTGGGACATGTATGGGCTGGAGCGATAGCACAGCGGGTAGGGCGTCTGCCTTGCCCGCAGCCAACATGGCCGACCCGAGTTCGATTCCTCCGCCCCTCTCGGGGAGCCCAGCAAGCTACCGAGAGTATCTCGCCCGCACGGCAGAGCCTGGCAAGCTCCCCGTGACGTATTCGATATGCCAGACACAGTAACAACAAAGTCTCCAATGGAGACGTTACTGGGCCCGCTCGAGCAAATCGATGATCAACGGGAGGGCCTTACTTTACATGTTGGGAAACTGGCAGGGTGGTGATGTAGCTCAGGGATGGAGAACTTGCTTCAATGTGTTTTAGGTCCTGGATTTCGTCCCCAGCATATGTTCCCTCCCCTCTGCCCCACCCACCCAAAATAGAGACAAAGAAAAACATACAGGATTGTTTGAAAATCTTTAAGAATAATATTTTCAGATCTAAACCTTACTTCTCCGTTTACTATAATAAACACAGTAGCTGGAGATTTAGTCTTTGGAGTGAAAAGGTAAAGTAGAGCCTTGATCGGGGGAGATTGTGTGTAGCCGAGGCAGTGCTTTATAAAGAGACTCAGTGGGAATTGATGTACCAGGCAGAAACCTGTAGCCTCTTCTGTCCTTGTTCCCCACACCCTGCCCTGCTCCATCATTTCCCAAGTCTGTAAAATCTTGATTTGAACATCATGTCTCTAAATTAAATTTTATGATGCCGCTTTTGATTCCCTAGATCAATAATTTGGCTGGATCTGAAATTCTGTGTTAAAAATACTTTCCCCTCAGAATCTTGAAGATATTAGAACATTTTCTTCTAGTTTGGACTCCTCTTTATTTTTTAAGACTGGAATGTGACATTTTATTCTACTAAAAATAAAGCAGGTCCAGAGAGAGTGTAGCGAGGAAGGCACTTGCCTTGCACTCAGCCAACCTGGGTTTGATTTCTGGCACTACATCTGGCCCCTCAAGTCTTGCCAGAAGTGATCCCTGAGCACAAAGCAAGGAGTAAGTCCTGAGAACATCCAGCTGTGACCCCAAAGCCAAAATAAATTTTTTAAAAATGATAAAGATAAAGCTGTACTGGACTTTTCAATGTATCTTTCCTGGACTTGAAATTACACAGATTAAATAGAACAGGGATACTGAGAAAATGAATCATAAAAATAATGCATGCAGTGCAAGTGCTGCTCTACTGTCTCTCCAGAGCTGATACAGGTCCTTTCATTAATCCCTGCCACCTAATTAACTTGATACCAGATTTTTCCATGGAAAGACAGTTTTCACTTTGTAATTTTAGGTATTTGTGGAAGATATTTTGATCCTGTATAAATACCATTTTCCACCATTGAGCACCCATTGATGATTCTTTTCTGAAATCCCTTATTTCTGAGAAGAGTTGCAAATTAGAGCTTTTCTGTGTCCATCATTCCTTCTGTACTTAATAAATTGGGAAATTCTGAATCAAATCTGTAACTTCTGGGCCTGAGTGATAGTATCAAGCAGTAGCTGGTAGAGTGTTTGCCTTGCACATAGTCAACCTGGGTTCTAGCCCCAGCACCCCATAGGGCCTCCAGCCCAAAAGGAATGATCCCAGAGTACAGAGCCAGGAGCAAGCTCTGAGCACTGCAGGTGTGAGACAGAAACAACCCCTGTGACTTGTCCCCGTTTCTGTGGGTTGTGTTTTTGGCCTAGCAAACCTGCTTAGGAAGATGAGGGCCTCCCAAGCCCCTCTTTGATTCTCAGCTAGCAAGACTGACAGCTCTGTGCAAGGGTCCGATGATTACTCAGCCCACCCTGTGGTACCTGGGAACCTCCACATGTGCCCTTAGCAAAGGATGCGGGAGGCAGTTGGTGCCAGGGCTCAGCCCCGACTACCGTCCTGCCTCTGTTCCTGTAGTCAATGGTATCACTGTCGACTTGAGATATTTGGGGGAGGTTTTTTTTTGCCTTATTTGGTTATTTTAATTTGGTTTGGTTTTGTTTCTTTTGGTTTCGGGGTCACACCTGGCGATGCTCGGGTAAGTCCTGGCTCTGCAATCAGGGATCACTCCTGGTGACCAGGGGGCCCATATGGGATGCCAGGAACAAACCCTAGTTGGCAGGGCAAGCGCCCTACCCACTGTACTGTCACTCCGGCCCACAAATGCTTGTTCTGTTCTTGAGTTATAACCTATTATTTACATGCCCATTTGCTCTGTTAGTTTTCGGACAGGGAGGTGGTGTTATTTTGGGCCATGCTTTGCAATGCCCAGGGCTTGCTCCTGGCTCTGTGCTCAGGGGTTACTGTGATAGCCCTCAGGGATCATATGCAGTGCCGGGGTTGGAACTAGTTCAACTCATGTAAGGCAAGCTCCTTAATGCCTGTACTCTGATTTCCAGCCCAATTTGCTCAAGTGGGTGGTTTGGGCTTTTTTCCTATTGTGAGATTTTTCAAGTTAGCACCTATGTTCTTTTGACCCAGTATTTTGAGCGCTTGCTACTTTCTTGTGCTACAAAGATACATTCATTTTCTTTGCCCTAGTTCTGGAATTAAGCATTTCTTTAAATAAAAAATAATATTTAGAAACCAAGATCTGGGTGCCAGGAATGCTTATTACTACTGAATGTTATTCTTTATAAACTAAAAGGCTGGAAGCTAGTAGTAAATGTAAGCTTGTATCCAGAGATGTATCTGTAAGCACAGTGAGCGTATACTGACATCTCTGGTCATCACAGATAATATTTTATCTTTCTGTATTTCTTTCCAGTTTGTAGCCCCTTTCAGTGTAACCATTTTTTAAAAATAAAGTGTAACTTTTTAAGTTGAATCAAGGTGAAATACAGTGTCAACAAGTTTTTATGTTTGGGCTTCAGTTATGAGGCGTCAATAGTGAGAAAGCTAGTTCTAATTGTAACTTAAAAAGTAATTTCCAAATAAACTATTTCTCTATGAATAA